GGCCCCCTGCTGAGCAGAGAGCCTGATGCAGGGCTCGATCCCAGGACCTGAGATCATGACCTGAGCCGAAGGCAGAGGCTTAACCCACTGAGCCACCCAGGCGCGCCCCCCCTCCCTCCCCGACAAAGCTTTCAAACCTTACCCACACTTACAGACAAGCCCAGCCCTCTCCTCCCATATCCAGCAGAGGACCTCACTGCCTCCTTCACAGAGAACAGAGAAACAATCCGACTCAGCTGCTGATTACCAAACATACAAATTTACCTACAGCTGCACCCTCTCCTGCTGATACAGCGTTTTTTAAACATGCAGTTTAATTTAGGGGGCCTTGATTAGTATTTCTGGAATGCAGTAAGTAGAACAGAAAATAGTATCTAGTGTACATTGTAAGCGTATTTACTGTTTCTTACAGCCTCTGTTTCGATTACCATGCATCTGTTACTGTGGGCTGAGGTCAAATAGTTTGTGTATGTTGGAAAACATGCAACAATAAAAAGTTTAAACAACAACACTGCAATGTTGCTCTATTTAGGATGGATCCTTGCACCCGTGCCTGTGCTTTGTGACCCACTCCCCCCACCCAGCCTTTTCAGGACCCTTCTACTATGAACCTTATATTTCTTTGTAAAAAACAAAAACCTCTCACTGGCCTCCTCTTATCCCCCAGTTACTGTCCCTTCCCCTTCACAGGAGAACTTCTCCAAAGAGTTATCTGTGTCACTAGCTCCATTACCACCACCCCCCAAGTCTACTGCCCACAGCAGTCCTCTGGAATATTCTCCAGAAAGTCAGCAGTGACTCCATGAGCCCATACATCTAGAAGATACTTTGCAGTGCTCACTCACTTCTTATTCTTACTCACCCTTTCAGCCTCACTTAAGCCCCACAGAAGTCTTCACTGACCTCCCCAACAAGGTCAAACCTCCCCGGGGCAGCACTCACTGTTCCTCTTTCTTCTGTAACTGTTGTCAGTCGTCACTGTTACACTTTTACATGTTTCTGCCATTACTGGCCCAGTTAGCCCTCCTCAAGGAGGAAAGGACTCTGTCTTTATTCACCTTTGCAGCCTGAAGGGGTCTGTGGGCTCAGCAGGGGGCTCAGCAAGTGCTTCATAAACTGAAGCTAGATTCAAAAATGGCCCTGGGTGTACAATGATGAAAAGCGTTCCAGAAAACTGAAAGGGGATGAAGGCGAGGAGAGCTAGGGGCAGAGGTGGAAGGAAGGGGCTGCTCCTGTCCGGCTTCCCAGACCAACCTGGAGCCTTTGCAAGGACAGTACATGCCAAGGACATGCTGTCATCTTTCCGGGTCGGGAAAGTCAGCAACTAAGTTGGGAAATTTGCCTAATGTTAAATACTTGGCATGTAGAGCTCTTTAATGAATGCTTTATATCTGCTATATAGTCAATGTTTGCTGAAAGATGTTACCTCCTTTTTGGAATGCAGCTACTAGAAAACAGGGCCTGGACCTCTTTGTTTGCCTGGTATCTCCTATCCACACCGGGTCTCTGCTAAATTCCACAGAACCGCAAAAGGCCTTATTCCTGGCTGGCTGGCCATAACTGAAGACTGCTTCTTGTGCTGAAATGTTTTCATTTCCTTTGGCATACTAATACATAAACATTCCTAATGATATGAAAAGATCAAGTGAATACAACAAATACTTAGCATCCAATATGGTATGGAGATGCGACCGGCAACATCCAGACAGGGAGAAACTCTACTGAACAAATGATCAGGCTCTTCCAACAAAACAATTGCTCAGGAAAGAGGGTGGCTTTAGAAGTGATTAAAGTAATTGAAGGAACAGATCAACTAGACACATTGTGTGGAACTTTTGGGGATCCTTAGTCAATAAGTAACTTAAACAGGGGGAAATTATAGCATAATCAAGGAAATATGAATACAGACTGGAACTCTGATGATAATGAAACTTCTCTATGTTTCCAGGGAATGTGGTGATGGTATGTGGTCAAGTTTTAAAAAGGCAGTCCTCATCCTTTTGAGACATACTGAAATACTCACAGACTGTAAAAGATGAAATGATACAATGTCTGGGATTTGCTGTAAAATAATCAGGGGGATGGGGTGTGTAAGTGGCCAGAGTTTTGGAAGAAACCAGACTGTCAGTTGGTAACTTGAAGCTTGGGTGATGAGTACCCATCCCCTTCACTGTCCCTCTTACTAGGTTTGAAATTTTGAAGATGTTAAAAAATCAATCTCACAACAGAATCATAAACCATAAATGTTTGTTAAGTAATTTTTGAAGCCTGGAACACCTTAGGAGTCTTTCAAGATGTCTCAAAGAGAGCAGCAGTCCTTGATTCACAAACTCTTTGAAATTTTGAAAGTAGGATTCAGAGTTCTTGTGCTGCTTGCCTTTTGCCACATGTCACATTGTTGTCATGAATCACCCTGTCTCCCGGCATTGGAACAGGCCCTCTCCTCCCAGGAGCTGGGATCCCTTTCAAGGATGCACACTGAACTGACTGCCCTCAAATGTCAGAAGAAAGACCCAAATACAGCCTGGCAACTGCTAGAGATTTTCTGGCCCTCCTGTTGCTTTTGAACATAGAAATGTAGCTTCACGTTCCTATCTTGGCCACCTACCTTGGCTTGCAGCTCTGCTGGGGGCTGTAGGGAACTGTCAAGCCAATGTTTCATGAGGACCAGATCACTGACCCCTGCCCATTCCCACTCAGGCTCCACATCAGTCTCTGAAACTGCCTTCAGTGCCGGGGGCGGGGGGGTGTCAACAAGCTGACTTGTATGTTTTCATCAAAGGACAAGGAAGGGGCTATTCTTTCTCATAAGAGTTTGATCTGGGGCGCCTGGGTGGCTCAGTGGGTTAAGCCTCTGCCTTCAGCTCTGGTTGTGATCTCAGGGTCCTGAGATCGAACCTCGCATAGGGCTCTTTGCTCAGCAGGGAGACTGCTCCCCCCACTGCCCCCACCCCCTGCCTGCTTCTCTCCCTACTTGTGATCTCTGTCCAATAAATAAATCTTAAAAAAAAAAAAAAAGAGTCTGAACTATTCAGAAACTTCCAAAGTCTACTGACCTTTATGCCAAAACCTGTTTTGGGGCAGAAATGAAGTTCTTGGGAAGGTCTCACGACGTTCAATTCCACTTAGGATAACAGACACTACCAACCACCCACAGATTCACTGTGGCTAACACAGAAATGTTGCCTCATGCACCTGCAGCTCCAGTAAACCTCGTTCCGCTACAAACTTTCTTAATTTGAGTGCGACAAGTTCGATTGCTGAAAAACTTAAGGAAGGCAGGTCGGTTTTTGTTTTTTGACGTTTCCCTAGCAAAATAAATCTTTAAACCTTCCTTGGTTAAATCAACTCTTTACAAAATAAAGCGGCTATTGCATTCCCCCGACTTAGACAAGATAACCAGCTACATCTCATTCACCAGCCTCAGAACCAAACCTCACAAAAAGCAAAAAGCCTCATCCAACTTGCACATGAAACAAAGCGAACGAAAACGAAGAATATATACTACAAGTACAAGCACAGAAAAATATTACCACCCAGTTCCCGGTTTCCAGCCGCTGCACACACATACACACCGGATACCCCCACCCCTCACCCTGGAGAGCAATTTGACGAGCGCTGTGATCTGTGCTTGCTTGCAGTGGAGAAATACAGGAATTTATGTATTGTGTTTTGTTGTTTTAAATGGGAAGGGAAGGAGGAGAGTGGGGCGTAAAAACTGGAAGTAAGTCTTAATTCTCTCGTTTCTTCCCATCTTTCTCTGCATCCAAATGCAGACGTATCAGTGAAATTTCAAGTGACAGTTTCTTGGACAAATACCCCAATTAGAAACGGTGGAGGCTGGGAACGCGGTGGAGAGCAGGGTGAAACCAAAGCCTTGCAGGGCGGGCGGGGTTAGAGACGCGCCCCGCGCTCGGCGGGCCGCACCAAGCACGCGAGGTTGCGGCGGGCCCGCAGCCGGTGGCGTCTCGGCTCAGAGCCGGCCGGTTGCCCGGCGTTTTGCTAGTGACTACGCCGGCTTGGCAGCCCACTAACACCTCCGGCTGATCCTGACTTTAGGCTAGGCTCATTCACTTCCGGTGACAAATCCCTCCCACCACCTCTAGAAATAATATAACATTTCCCCAAGGCTTTCCTAAAGACCGGCCCCACGGAGAGCTGCAGAGCCGGGGGCTGGAAATCTCACCCCCGCGCCGCCAGCAGCGCTCAGGGGCGGAGGGAGTGACCGCGAAGTGGTGGAGGGGGGAATGTGGGAGGAAGAGGAAGGGGGTGTGGAATCTCACCCTCCCCCGCCCCCACCCCTCCGACTGCAGCAATTGGCCAAAAAAATAGTAATCCGTTTTTAGGCTACCCCTGGGCCCCCGGAATCCGGTTGCAGTGAGAAACCCAGTCTCTTCCATCCCGGTGCCCCTCAGCTACTCCCGCCCCCGTAAGTGCCTGCGGGAATCCAGGAGACCCCAGGCCACGCCGAACTGCTGCGGCTGAGAGGGGAAGGCGGGTAGAATAAGGGTTTGGGGACGGCAGGAATGGGTTGGGGGAGGGGTGGTGAAAAGGAAAAGAAAAAACCAGAGGCATGCAAGCGGCTCCCTAGCCAGCTGTTCCAGCTGCCGCTTCCTCCGGCGCGGGCCGGGCGGTGCAATATACCCCCCCTCCATCTTTCTCACCACTACCTGTACCCCCACCCACCATACGCACACATTCCCCCCACCAGTAGCGGATCTCCGGCCCGTAAGGGGGTAGTAGGGAGGAGCCGGGGGGAGGGGGAGGCCTGCGAGTTTCTAACCTTGTTCTTATAAACAAACCCACATGTGCAGCTGCCGCTGCTGCAACTCACCCCACAATCCCGGATATAAGTCCTGCCCCTTTAAGAGGAAAAAAAGCTTCCCCCTCCTGTCTCCCACCCCACCCATCCACAAGGACCTTTGTCTCCCCACCCCTCTTGTCACTCGGCCCCGCCTCATATCCCCGCCCCCTCGACGCGGAGGGACCAATGGGCGAAGAAAATAAGGCCAGGGCTGACGTAAGCGTGTCCGGCCAATCACAGGACGCGTTGGTGGGCGGCCCCAGGGAGGGCGCGCCCGGAGGAAGCAAGGTAGGAGAAAGGAAGCTGGAAGTCAAAATGGAGAGCGCTGGTTGCTCCGCTGCCACGGCAAACGGGGCCATGGGTTCGCCGCGGGACCGGAGCATGGTGCCTGAACGGCTTCAGAGACGAGAACAAGAGCGGCAACTGGAGGTAGAAAGGCGGAAGCAAAAGCGGCAGAACCAGGAGGTGGAGGAGGAGAAGAGCGACTTTTTCGCTGCCGCCTTCTCTCGGGAGCAAGTGGCGGTGGGAGAGCTTCTGAAGAGCGGGGAATCCATGGAGCAGCTGGAGGAGGCGGCCGCTCGGCTCCAGGGCCTGCAGAAACTACTCAACGACTCGGTTTTGTTTCTGGCCGCCTACGACCTGCGGCAGGCACAGGAGGCGCTGACGCGGCTGCAGGCGATCCTGGCCGAGCGGCGCCAGGAGCTGCAACCCAAAAAGCGTTTCGCCTTCAAGACCCGGAGGAAGGACGCTGCTTCGGGCACCAAAGTCGACGCAGGTCCTGGCGCCCCGGCCGCTGAAGGCGTCCCGACCTCCCCGCCGCCATTGAAGGAGGAGGGAGGCATCGGCTCCAGCTTTGTCTGCGGCTTCTCCAATGTGGAGTCCCAAGTCTTGGAGAAGCGGGCGGAGGAGCTGCACCAGCGCGACGTCCTTTTGACCGATCTGAGCAAATGCACAATCAAGCTGTATGGCAATCCCAACACCCTGCGGCTGGCCAAAGCCCGAAGTTGCACACTGCTCTGCGGCCCGGTGTCCACCTCTGTGTTCCTGGAGGACTGCAGTGATTGCGTGCTGGCCGTGGCCTGCCAGCAGCTCCGCGTACACACTACGAGAGACACCCGTATCTTTTTGCAGGTGACCAGCAGGGCCATCGTGGAGGACTGCAGCGGGATCCAGTTCGCCCCCTATACCTGGAGCTACCCGGGCATCGACAAGGACTTCGAGGGCTCTGGTTTAGATAGGAGCAGAAATAACTGGAACGACGTCGACGATTTCAACTGGCTGGCCCGGGATATGGCCTCCCCGAACTGGAGTATTCTCCCTGAAGAAGAGCGAATGATCCAGTGGGACTAAACAGTTGTCGCTGTGTTCTTCACTCCTACCAAATACTTCCCGTGTGGGACCAGCTCCTGCTAATGGGACCTCAGAGTTTACTTATTGTTTTCATACTTTGTATGTTTTCAGTATTTTAAGGCATGAGATTGTGATAGGCTCCTACTTGTGATTTCCATTAAATTCACCACAGGTCTAACACTTTGAAGCATTTTTGCTGTTTCAGTAACGTGTAGTAGCTTTGATTTGACCATGATCGTTTGAAGCAGCAAGAGGAAGAGTGTGGGTGTGTGTTGGTTATTAGTGATTTGTGGCGTTTAAAACTTAATGACAAAGTAGGCTCTCAGTAAATATTTAATAAATGAATTTAGTAGTGCTCTGTTAGCAGCCAGTTAATGTAAAGTATGGTATCAAACTTGTGCAAAACACTAGTAATTGAGAGCTCTTAAATTGAAGGTTTGACTTCCACAGGTATTACTCAGCAGGGCGGTGCAGACCGGTGTTCAGGTACACATTCGCTTGGGCTTCTGGAATCCAGCTACTCATCCAATTGTTTGGATCCAGAGTTTTGGCATCGACCCCAGGAAGCTCATGAGTCTTACCTACTGTAAAGCAATAATAATTATAGCTACCAGTTTTTTTGTGCCCTTAAAAGGTCATAGACAATGTTCTAAGCACCTTACTCATATAAACATGACAAAGTCCAGAAAATCTTATGAGGGAGGTTCTGTTAGCACCATTTTTCAGGTGAGGCAGGTGAGTCGCCTGAGTCACACGGCTTACGTGGACTAGAATTTGAAACCAGGTGGTGTGGCTTCAGAGCCCACCTTCGCAACCCCTACAACATAGTGATTTTGAATTGTGTTAGTTGAGTTGGAAAGAGAGCTTCCAAAGTCATTAAAGAGGGCAAAATGCTTTTCCTGATAGCTCAGGAATAAATATGCTACATATCCTCACACAAAAACCAACTAGCTGAGTCTTAATTTTTTCCACTCATTTTGCTATAATTTTCGACTATTACATATTTGGCATTTTGCCCTGTTACCACCCATTATTCCTAAGTGGAAATTTAAGAGTTTCAAAAAGCTTTTTTGGGTCTAGTGGCCTTATAACTGCAGACATTTTAATAATGACCACAGGCATTAAAATGCTTGTAGTGCTTTAAATATTTATATGTTCTATCTTGTTCCAAAAAAGAACTTACGGTGGCTTTTAGGATATGTGAAATGTAGCAAGATAACAAATGAAAAGGAGGAACAAGGGTAGAGTCACCCAGGCATAATTGAGGCCGGTAAAAAATGTGGCCTACCAAGCTCTGTTCTAGCTAGAGATGAATCTGGATTTTTTTCCCCTCAACTATCGGCTGACTTGAAATAATCCTAATCATGTCACAATGTGCAACATCTACAAAGGAAAGGGACAAAAAAAAATCTGTTGTTTCATAGAATGAATTCTGGTAATAAAAAGAGACAACATGTAATGAAATTCTCAACTGTGTGTTCACGTAAGAAACTAGGACTGGTATTGTAAAGCAATGCTCCTAAAGACTGATAGTTTAACACCAAGTGAGTGCCCTTCAGGAAACAAAAACCATGCTTATGGCACTGATGGGCTTGCAATTCCTATTTGTGGATGGAACTTTCCTAGGACAGTTAAGTAGTTGCATCCAAAAAAAGGTCCCTGCTGTCTGTAGTAGATAATAAAAACAAAATCATGGCCGTTTGAACCATAGTTGGTGCTTGCTAATCTCAGCTGAGCTTTCCTCTATCTTTCGAAGTTTTTCTGACCTCCATAGCTTTGCTCTACCCTATGTCTCTTAGGACAGCTCTTCCCTTTCATTATGATTCCAGTGACTCAACAGCCCTTAAATTTAAGTATTACCCAAGGTTTTACCTTTAGCTTCTTTGTATGCATGTTCTCCAGAGCCGCAACTCTGAACCTCTGTGCACAGTTCTGTCAGTGGGCTCACTTGCCTGTCAAATTCATATATTCTTAAAATCTCCATTTTCACTTCTTTCCCTCCCAAGTTCCATATATTTTTTTTTTAAGATTTCATTTATTTATTTGACAGAGGGAGAGAGATCACAAGGAGGCAGAGAGGGGAGGCAGGCTCCCTGCTGAGCAGAGAGCCCAATGCGGGACTCCATCCCAGGACCCTGAGATCATGACCTGAGCTGAAGGCAGAGGCTTTAACCCACTGAGCCACCCAGGCACCCTCCATATTTCTTTCTATGGTGTTGCTCTTCTCCAGGCATTCGATGCTTATGAAAGCCAAGCAGGTAAGGTCAGGTTGTTGGGAGAAAGTCATTAGGGAGTGGGGGACCAGGTGACTTGGCAGACAAATTTAAGCATTTTAAAAACAATGTACAAGGGGCACCTGGGTGGCTCAGTGGGTTAAGCCTCTGCCTTCGGCTCAGGTCATGATCTCAGGGTCCTGGGATCGAGCCCCACATCGGGCTCTCTGCTCAGCAGCGAACCGGCTTCCCTTCCTCTCTCTGCCTGCCTCTCTGCCTGCCTCTGCCAGAGATTTATTTGATCTCTGTCAAATAAATAAATAAAAATCTTAAAAAAACAAAACAAAACAACGTACAAACCAAGCAAAACATTTTTTGCGGGGTCCGCATCTTGTCCCTGAGCTGGCCGATTTGTAACATCAGACTTCCAAATCCCGTCAGTTCTGCCCTCAGCAGATATTGCCTATTTATCCTATCCTCTCAAGTCTTTCTGGCATTTCAGAAAGTTAGACATTGTTACATTTTCCCTAGATATAAACTGTGATGGGTTTTTTTTGACCAAAAAAAACAACAAAACAAACAAAACCATCCCTGAATCAAAGTCATTGATTGGGAGGTGCTTGGCTGGATCAGCTGGTAGAGCAGGCGACTCTTGGTCTCAGGCTGTGAATTAAAGCCCCATGCTGGGCATAGAGATAACTTTTTTAAAAAAACTTTAATTAGAGTTACTAAGTTTTTATTAAGCAAATTTAATAATGTCATTATAGTGAGAGCATATTGCACCAATAAGTGTAATAACTATATATTTTCATTAAAAAGTCATTGGAGGGCACTGGGTGGCTCAGTGGGTTGAGCTTAGACTCTTGATTTCAGCTTAGGTGATGGTCTCAGGGTCTTGGGATAGAACTACATGTCTGCTTGAGATTCTCTCTCCCTCTGTGCTCCCTTTTGCTCTCTCTCTAAAATAATAAATCTTTTTAAAAAGTTAAAAAAAATCCTCTAGGGAAGCAATAAAATTGCACATTAATCAAGCAGTCAAGTTTATCAAACTTCATTTATGATTGGCTATGTTAGACATAATTCAGTACAGTATTACATAATTGTAAAGTATCTCTCCAGAGTATCAACCCCATAAAAATAAGAGAAATGGCCAATACATATAAATTCTAATCCTGAAGTTCTGACTGCAATGCAGGAGTTATTGACAAAGTTTTAATTGCATTAACTAGGAAATGAACTAAAGCAGCAAGATGAAAAGATTCAACTTTCTATGGGTAATGTTACAAGGTAATACAATGTTTTAGAAACATCATGCAATTACTCTAGTATCACAGAAATTAGATGACTAAATTGCACTTAATTCCAAAGTCTTGGGGCACCTGTGTGGCTCAGTGGGTGAAAGCCTCTGCCTTCAGCTCAGGTCATGATCTCAGGGTCCTGGGATTGAGCCCTGCCTCCTTTCTGCCTGCCTCTCTGCCTAGTTGTGATCTCTCTGTTAAATAAATAAATAAAATATTTTTAAAAAATAAAAAGTCTCATTAACTCGGAAACTTAGTCACACTACTTGACTATTTTTCTTCTCTTATGAAGAAGATAAGTTGGTCATTGCAATTAAGATGAAGGGAGATGAAGGGTCAATAATTATCCAACTTAAGTTTCAGGAAGGGCAGGGGCAATATGATACAGAAAGCCATGTTTGATTCAACTGAACAAATACTTGAGCAACTACGAGGCACCTGCTAGTGCTGGGCACTAAGAATGCAATGGCCAACAAGCATGTGGTCTTCCTTTACGGAGCATACAGTTTAGGGGAAGATGAATGAAAGAGCAATCCTGATAGAGAAATTCTGAAAGCTCTGAAAGGGCAGTGCCTTATCACCTCTCCAGTTTAGAAAAGACATTAAGTAAGGCATCTACATCAAACACCCATCCAGGGGCTGAATTCCCTGAATGACCTTTCTGCCCACTACCTACTTGGATCAGCAACCGTTCACAAAAGGATGCAGTTACTAGTCACAGACCTGTCTTCCAATTTCTCAGATACTGTACTCACTCTGACCTTTAAGAACTGACAAGACCAGGCAAGACAATTCAAGGCCATTTACTTACCTGGTAGGCAAGCTCAACATTCAACAAATGCTGTATTGTGAAGATAATATTATTATTATTTTTGGTTGAATACCTTTCAGTTGTGTTATTTCGCCAAGAAAGCTATACATAGCCTAATTTTTAGAACTGTTCTCAAGGTAGAGGTTTGAGTCTAAGATGGCAATGCAGTGGATTTTTTAACACAGGTAATTTATGCACAGGGACAATAAGATTAGAATGAAAGGAAAATCTCCCTTTGTTTGATCCTAGCCATTCAGTTCTCTTCAGAGAGCAATCATCCTGTCCCTGTTTCCTTTATTCTGTGTGGTTTTTTTTTGCATTTATAAACTTAAGTGAAAAATATCCTTTTATCCTCCCACCCAAATAGAAGCATATTATGTAAACTATTAGGCTATCTTCCCATGTGAAGACATGGTAATTTCATTCTCTTTAACTGCTGCATAGTATTCCATTCCATGGACTGTGCTATGCTATACTTTTTTTTTTAAAGAGTTTATTCATTTATTTGACAGATCACAAGTAGGCAGAGAGATAGGCAGAGAGAGAGAGGGGGAAGCAGGCTCCCCACTGAGCAGAGAGCCCGATGTGGGGCTCAATCCCAGTATCCTGAGATCACGACCCAAGCTGAAGGCAGAGGCTTAACCCACTGAGCCACTCGGGCGTCCCTGTGTTATACTTGTTTACCAGCCTCTAACGATGGACATTTAGGTTGTTCCAATATTGAGCCATTAGAAAAATGCTACATAGTCTTACATATAAATTATTTAGCATTTGTGCAATGTTGTCTATAGGTTAAGCACCTAAATGAGGAAATGCTGGACCAATAGCTTATGATCATTTACAATATTGATAGATATTATCAAATTGC